GAAGCTCACGCTAGTTCCCATATCAGAACCCCTCTTCACAGGGATTTCAAGCAAGTTCATGACATGAAGTACCAGTAGCAGAGGTCAGAAATCAGAGACAAAACAAACAATAGTGAGTTGGCAGGACAGACAGCCCTTAGATTAGGAAGGAAAAACGATGAAATGTCCAAGCTACTGACGGTACTGTGCAAGTTTGTCTCTAAAATTGCTTCAAATCCAAAGAGTTAAGGCACCTAAAATGTTAAAATGATGCTAACACTCCAGCCAGGAAGGCATGGACAGGACACCTGATGTGTGTACTGGGCAAGTTGCTAAAAAAATATTGTTTTAGCCATAGAACAGAGGTGGTGAACACAAAGATAAATACAATGAGCTGGGGGAGAACCGAACAGCTTTTATAGAGAAAAAGTCACGTCTCACAAACCCATCGTAACTTCTTTTTAAGGAGTCAACACATAAGCAGATGACTGAAAGTCAGCAAATGCAGTCTGTGAACTTGCATTTGACAAGATCACACACCACAGACAAACAAAAAAAAAAAACAGCAATAACAAAAAAAGCCTTAAGAACCCTTAAGTAACAGTGGAGGATATGAGAGAAGGTCCTTATGATCCTTCTGAAGAAATTGTTAGAAAATACCAAGCAGTGTCCAGGAATAAATGGACATTTCCACAATCAAGAGGACTCTAGAGAAATCCTGATGAGATCTCTGCTTGGGCTTGTGCCATTTGAACCGTATATGATCTAGAACAAGAACAAAGCATGAAATGGCAACAGATGTTAAACAATTATATAGTTGGTAAAGAAAGATATTGCAAACTAAGCAGTTGCTCAGCAGATGAGGAAATAGAAGATGAAATTCAGTGTCAAGCAATTCAGAATGATCCAGTTTCTGTGACTAATGAAGCATCACAAAAGGGTCATCTTGGAATGAAAATAAATATTTCCAAGACAGTACTAATACATTGCTCAGCAGCAGTCCAAGATCCCAAATACAAATCTAGGAATAAGAGGAATAGAAAACAAAAGAAAAACCAGAACAATGCCACCAAGTCTTAGATACCTCGTGCACTTCTGGTTCCAGTGGCTCAAAAATGACAGAGCTCAACTGGAAGCTGTACAGAATAGCAAAGGTGATCAGTGGAATTAAACTGATCACATAACAAGGTAAAACAGAACAGGATTTTACAAGTTTGTAATAGAGACAGTTGTGGGAAGATGATAAACCATGGTGGATATGGAGAAAGCTGTTCGGGAATGGCCATTTCCTGACTCCTCCTGTACAAGAACTGGAGGCCCGGGAAGCTGTTTCAGTCCAAGAACTAGAGGGCAAAACATGAAACTAGCAGCAAGGAAAAAGCTATCTCCTCTTCCACACACCTCCCTGCTACAGGATGCTTTCAGAGCTAAAAGTTCACGTCTCCAAAACAGAAGCGAACAGAAACAAACTCTTCCAGGAGGTACTCAGAATAAATTATTTGGGGCTTGGGCAGTGCTGGGCCATAGAGTGCCAGATACTAGGAGCACATCTGCAAACCTCTCTCCTGCGTGGTTTTGCTTTTCTTCAGACATCTGCTTTCAGCCACTGCTGGAAAAAGCCTCCCGGAGCAGGTCCTTCACATTCGTCCAGCATAGATATTATCATGCCAACTTTTTTCACCAGCCATAGCTCACGCTGCTGTTCCTGTGTGACGAGTCATCTGTAAAAGCACTTAAGGGCCCAAGAGACTCGGGGAAAACAAGCTACTGCATCCTTAAAATATTAACCTTGGGCCAGCAGGTCAACCCAACATCAAGCACTGCTGTCAAACCACACATTACGTAAATTACTACTATCCTAGATATTTCTAAGGAATCCAGCTACAAAATCAGCTAAGTACAGCTTCTGCTCGTATAAACATTAAACAACTACATCTCATCCCACTAAGCACATGCCCTGACACCCAGCCAGGTCCAACCAAGTCACATCTGCTGGAAGGGACCAAAGACAAAGCATCAGCAAGAAGATTAAGGACTGAACATTAGAAAGTTGTTTTGGACTACTGTTTGTACCTACCTTCGTCATTTTATCTTCTATTGATCATGTCTTAGTTCTTGAGCTTATCTTTCTAAAACCAATGCGAGTTACAGAGCGCAAGGCTGAAGAGACCACATATCCTGTTTTGAATAAATTCACCAATATCTAAGAAGGCCGTGTACAAACTGTTCTTAAAAACAACCCATGACAGAGGGCCTACATTCTCTCTGGGCATCCTAAATGGCTAAGAGAGTAAACAGCTGCAATAAAATGTTCTCTAATTTTCAAATCATCTCCTTTACTGCAGTCTCTCTCTTGCTAAGTGCTAAATCAGACAACAAACACGTAAGTCTCATGGCAGGAAATTGTTGTCTTAGGTATGGATGAAAACTAAAGCATCATTTATCATTTTCATACTTAGATTACAGGATATTGTTTTTGCTTAGCGACTAAAATTTGTTTTGTTTTCAGCCCTTCACTAGTGATTTGCCACATTTAAATGACTTCAGGAAAAAAGGAGTTATAAAAAACCTGGAATATTTCACATAATACCAACTCTGAAATCTAAGCCACGCTCCGTCAATTTTTTTCACTCTCTACTGTTGCAATTCAAGACAGAAATACTAAACTAACCTGCAGGAAAAAAGTCTGGGCTACAACGATACCATAATATTTCAAGTGAATTCCTACAATATGTTATCTGTCATGCTTTCTTCCATAACAGGAGTAGTCAATGTTAATGTGACTTAATGAAGAATCCTGACAACATTATCAAATTTCTGAATTGAAATGACTTGATTACACTCTCCTTGAAGCTATTATTTACATTTTAATAAAGGACTCTCATTACAGTACTTTAATGGCTCAAAAGCAATCAAATAACAGTGAAATAAGTAACCTGAGAGCAAAAAATATTTCATCTAGCTATGTAAACTTGACAAATGCACGCCTGAAAAATAAGCACATGAAGCAAAATTTGAAGAAGAAACTTCCTGCTCTGAATGGGGAAAAAAAAGGACCACACAAAGTTTTAATAAAACTGCAGTTAACCTTGGAAACACTTTTAGAACTGCAAACAACAAAATCCTTGGCCTTCACCTTCCTGCTCCCACTTCTATCGCGTCTCTGAAGTTCTCCAGTTTTGACTACACTTCTGCAAGAACGTTGCCTTGGGTCTTATCAGTGCTTGAAGTGTCACTGTTTTTCATAAAAAGGGGATAGAATCCAGAAAGTGACATGGCTAGGTAATTTCAGCCTGCACCAGATTTGAACACACTCAGGAATTGTGTTTATTTTAATACCCAAACAACTGGAATATTTAATCAAATTTACTAACTAATTGTTATACAACCCTTTGATCTCTACCAAACACTAATCGGCCAAGAAGAATGTTGTACATGTTATCTCAAAACACTGCTGGGTTTCCAGCACTGAAACTGGAGTAGACTAAACAATTTCATAACGCTTCTTTCCAAAAGATACAACTGGAGTCAGCAAACTAAACAGTCATAAAAATATCTTCTAAAAAATTTACATCACTTATTTACACGGCCCCTTTCCTATAAAGCCATTTTATTTCTCCATAGCTGACATAATTAACTTACCATAATAACACACCTCATTCGGGACTTCTCAAGACAAAGTCACCCTTCTGAAGAAGCTGAGCTGTGCACTTTACACATTGGGAACACACACCCATCGGGCTGCAGTCAGTTTGGGACCCACTATATCATTTTGGTCAAATGTAGACTGTCCTCAACTCCCTTTCCCATGCCTTCTCACTGCAGGTTTGTACCTGCACATCTTGGATCTGTCCGTACAGCTCCACACACCATTGCTCCCTCGCTGAAATCTGCTGCTATGGACTAAACTAGATCAGTTACTGTGACCCGATAACTGCGGACAGTATTACTGAGGGGCAGGTGAGGACAAGGACACAGAGGAATCAAACAGCTGAGAAAGGGACTCTGAACTCATCTCAGCTAGATCTTCCATGACCGGTTGACAAGGGACTGAGAAAAATAACAGGCAGGAAGAAAGCAGCAGGAATGACTGATTTCTTCCCTTCTTTGGCACCTCTTGTGGGAGTTCTGTGATACCAGTTTGCTTGTTCCTTACCTAGCAGCAGCTATGAAAGTGCTCACCATTAGAACAGCTCGCTCTGGTCAAAGGTATTGAAGTGTTTAACTAAAACACAGTTTCCTTCTTTAAAAACCTCTTTTTCATTCAAATCGGAAGAGGGCAAGGGTAAAAGAGCCCAAAGAGTTTGGCAGAAAAACCTTGCATTACAGAAACGTGACAGAGTAGGAGAGGGATTACATTCAGGGTATTTCTCTTTATTCTGTTTCTGACTTTCTAGGGTAGGTGGCTTCAGATTATAAAACAAGGTGGCCATTACTTAAGAGGACTCTATAACCATTAAGTACAAATATTCATAAAGGTATGAGGATGATAAAGCATTCAGAAGAGGCAGCTACAAGACAGAATTTTGCGAGTGTGAAGCAAAAGCCTCCTAAATATATATTTTAAACCTTCAACCTTCACAGAAGCAAAGTTGCCCTAATATTCTCTTCTTTAAAAGATTATTTTACTTTATTTTCTTAGCGGTTAGCTTAATGTAAAGTGCTGCTGCAGAGAATATATTGGTATTGTTAAACAGGAGCATCTATCTACAATACAAACGGCAAAACTAGTTTAGGTCCAAGATTTTTCACAATCCCAGGAAAATTCAAGATTATCAAAAGCCCTTCAATGGTAGAATATTAAATAAAATGTTTCCAGAGTTACTACAAACAGACAAACCTGTTTCCCAGAAACTATCCTATTAGCTTTAAAATACGTAAAGAAAATTCAACGATATTTCGTCCTCATCAACTGCTCGCAAATCAAATATCCAGTCTTATCTGCATACAGCCAGCTGGTTTTTAAAATTCTGCTGTAATTGAGGGGAAAAACAATTAAGCAATATTATTAGTCATCTTACCATTGTTCCCTGGTGGTTGTAATGCATCTCCTGTCAAGCTACACCATCCAACTGGGAAAATATCTCGAGAATCACATCTGCACCAATAGTCAAATGCTCCTCTCCAGCCATCAAACGTAACAAAAACTTCATCTCCTTTCACATCTCCAATGGTTGCTGGGCAAATCAAGTACGGGTTCTTTCTATCTATAGCTTCAAGTTTCATTCCAACTTTAAAGCAGTTTGTCACAGGTTTTGGTGGTTCCTACAATAGTAAGATTGGTAGAATATTTGTATTTGTATGACCCTTTAAAAATAATAATAATAAAAAAAAAACAACAACAGGAAACCTATTTTTTCTTCAACATTTTTATTTCTTATACTCACTACTCTCAAGAAGTTATAACAGACATTCGAAAAAACTTACTGATGCTGAAAACTTGCATTTGCTTTTTATCTTCTGTGTTATAAAAATCTAGATTCTATTCCCACAAACACGGTTGGGATAATTAGCAAAATTCCCCATGGCAGCCAGGCTGTGCTGGAAGTATTTACATAAGCAATGGGTTGCACCCAATACATTATGCCTCAGCAGCAAGACAGCAAAGACACCACGATGAAATCATTACATGCTAATAAGGAAGAGAAGGTTTGCAGGGAATGGGAATTTCTGGGGACTGATAACTGTCTGGTAAAAGCTTCACCTCTCAATTAGTCCATGAAAAATTCATTAGTACTGGACGTTATTTATAGGCCTCTGGTAACTAAGCCTGCCTTAGACCAATTCCAAATGGACAAAAGAGAACCAGAAATAAAGTCAACGTGACCAGCAGAAGCGTACCCTCACTGCCGAGCTTGTGACCCAAGGGAACCCAAATGACCACCTCAGCCTCAGGAACCTCATTCCCCAAAAATGATCTCAGACATACTGATAGGCCAGCACAGGAAGTATGATTCATCACAGCCCCAAAAATTACAATAAGTTAACATGTAAGCAATGTGGCTGCAGGCCTGAAACCAACTCCTTGATTTACTGACATACTTCTGAATGTCGTTCTCAGTATCAGAAATGAAGACATCCAATGTGACAGCATCACAACAAAACCACATTAATATTACTATTGTTTTCATAAATTGTTTTTCATGTTTCACAGTAGTTTACCCAAGTCATGTTCAAAAACAAGCAGCTTTTTCTACCATCAACTACTTTCTGATTACATTTTAAATGATGAGTAATCTGCCCAGTGAAAACGCTTAACAAAACCTTTCAAAGTACTACTTTTCTCTGATGGTTCTTGCTCTCCACTAAAAATTTTTTTTTTACTCCTGTGCACAATGACTACGTGAATGTGATGCTGTCAAGGAGTGTGAGACAATGCATCGTATCTAAAATCCAGGACACAGAAAATGAACTAATGCAATTTTTCTGAACAACACAACATACTTTAGAAGTCTCAACTCAGGAAAAGAGATGCCATCCAACGGGCAGATCGCTTCCTGTCTGGTTTTGTACCTTGACAATCCACTTCAAAGTAGTTTTATATAATATTCTGGCCTTCCTGTGCTGCAGACAACAGGCACTATATTGGCATCCTCACTAAAAAAATGCAATCATGGACCAATTGATGGAAACTCATTTAGTAGCGGCTCTTTTCCTCTTACCTTCTTGAAGAACGCTGCGGGTGCCATTTCAGCTCCATTTAGAGTTCTTAAGAGAAACATCGGCCACGAAGATGCATTCATCTGGAATCCTAAGTAACAAATAAATTACTCGTATACAATATCCCTACCATCAGTTTGTAAGATATAACGGGAAGAAGATGATATAAAATTGGCTTTACTAATGCCTAATTCCCTGTGTTTTGCACATGGCCAAAATAAAAGTGATCAAGAAGGAACAGACAGGGCAGGTGCTGGTGCAGAAAGCTGTGCAGTACACTGCCATTTTCAGCACTTGCTCATTTGTGACTTTACAATTAAGTGTGTAAGACCTACCAACATGCATGTTCTAGCACAGGAGATTACCAGGTCATCCCACATAGCCCCTGGCTCAGTGGAACCTCCCTGGTACAGAAATGTACCGAGCTGACTTTTCAGGGCCACTTCTCAATCTCAACTTCCTCAGCTCCAGCTTCCCTCATTTATCGAAGAGAGACCCTCTGATTTTTGAAGCTGTTTTAATTCTTTCACCAGACCACAGACGAGAAAAAGACCAACTGGTTTCTCCTCTTCCCGCCCCCAAAATAAATAAATAGAAATTCTTCAACAAAGAGCACACAACAGAGAAGAACAAACATATAATGACTTTAATAAAAGCATGTATCGTATTGAGAAACAAACTGGAAGATATTTCTACTTCAACATCCTTCATTAAACAAGTGAATAAAAAGCACAAACAGTAATCGAATTTGTTCAGCTGAACTACCTTATTCAAGGAGAACAAAGGTTTAGCTGAAAACACTCTCGTTTCTGAGAACCTTCCCTCAGAATCTACTCTCTGGTTAAAGAAACAAAATGAAAAATATCCCCTTTGCTTTCTGTGTTTTCCAAATGAATGCTTCAAAGTAATGAGTAAGGTAACAAACGCAGTGGGCATTTTTTCTACATCTTTAGTATCCTGTGTATCTGGCAGATTTTTATAGGAAAACTGATGTAATAGTGAGAATTGGACATTTCTCCACAAAGCAAACATTACCAAAACCTGCCAGGAACTGATGAGCTTCCTCACAACCGAACCTTGAAGATTCTGTTGAAAAAAAAATGTCCCTAGAAAGGTGGAATGGATTTGCAATTCTTCATCAGTTAAATCATTACATCATCTAAAGTTGGACTGCATGGATTATATGGTTTAGCAGTCCTTGAACTTGCAGCTTCAAGCTATTTTCAGTTGGATAAACAGTTTACGTGTTGGAACTACCTATGCAACACCCAAATTAACACAAAGCTCACACCTGAGGAAATGGCCTCATGATTTGAGGACTGCTGAGCTGATCATCACTCCTGGTTTGACACCAGAGTCTTTATGCAATCTAAACACATGTGATTACTGAAATGCAATATTCCTAACCAGCTAGCAGAGACAGGATACATACACAAAGACAGAGGAACGACAACTAAACAACAGTTTCAATTAGCTTCACTTGTCCTGTAAGTTGTCCTGGTAAAAACCATACAAAATGTTATCTTCACCGTAATTTGTTGAGAACATTAAGCTCTCAAAACCATAAAAGCTCCCCTTTGAAAACCAGAAGCTGGAACAAGACCACTTTTCCTACACTAATCATTTTCTCAAAAACCTTAGGTAACATGTATAATTAAACCGATGTAAAAATCAGGTAGGAGGGGCTATTTTAACTTGTGATTATGAGATAACCAGAGCATTAGTATCCAGAAGGTTCCCTACTACTTAGGGAAAAAAAATAATAAAAAAAAAATCGGTTGCTTAAATGTCTAACAGGAGGTAATTATACACCCAATTAGCTCCCAGCTTTGCCCAGGAACAGGATGCTGTAAAGCTGCCAAAAAAGCTTTTTCAAAAATTTATCTAGGTATGCCAGAATGCTTGATTGCTGGAATTCAGCCTATCTCTAAAAAAAATCTAAGACAGGAGGGACAAAATAATGGCACTTGCATTCTTTGCTGAATAACAGCAATTGTTCTGAAGGCAGGTAAGCTTCTGTTTCTAGATGCAGGGAAACATCTGCTTGTTTGGTGCTGCGCTACAAGCAGCCTGACCGAACAGGAGTAAGAAAGAGTATCCAGAGAACGGCATCAGTCCTTCTGCTGATGGTCACGGAAAGTTTCTCTTTGTAATGGATCGACTGTCCCCATTATACATAACCCAGAGTTGTGTTATTCATCAGGCTAGTTTAGAAACACGTTTAAAAAAAGCACTGTGATCCTGGGCTAAAGCCATAATTTTAATGCCATACATACACGTAAGAACAGACGTACTCTTCTCTATTATGACCCTCCTTCATACCGGTATGACTGTACTCATTCTACAAGGTTGTACCAAGCACTTCAGAAAGGTTATACTGAGTTACTTCTCAAAAAAAATAATTCAGAATATTCCCCTCCAGTCTCAAAATTTTCCAGTGTTTCCATTCAAAATCTCTACATCCATATGAAAGCAGGAAAAAATAAACCCTTTCGGGTTCAGACTCTATCTCAACTAATACTTTTGCAGACTGGCACCCAAGCTGCACTGCTTTCTTGTGTTTCTAAAGCAGCACAACAGCACAAAAATCTACCCTGTTAATCTACATGAAGCATCTTAATGGTTACGTGAACTGCTGCTGTATCTGTTTGCCTGTTTAGGAGCAAATCAAGTTTCACACTGTAATGAAATTACACCTTTCGCTTCACCTTTCTAGCAGAAGATCCAAAAGCTGTTAACAAATACGGTTGGCTGGTTTCTTGAGAGGCCACTAAGAGGAAGCATACCAGTCTTCTTCACTGCACCTCTGCCTTGCCACATGTCACAGTTAGAAGACACCAAAGCCAGAACCATAAGACAGGAAGACAACAATAAGCAATTCTTGGCTACAGTTCATTTTTCACATTAAGAACATTATTTATTGCATCTTTTAAACATTACAAGAAATAGCAGAATAAAAGAAGTGTTACTGTTGTGTTTTGGCTTGGTTTTGTGGGGAGAAAATTAAAGTAAATGTTGGCTATTATTTTTCCATCTTTTCAGAAGCTGAACTATTTTCAGACCAACATGAAAAATCAGTTTCTTTAAAGATTTCCACACCTAGAAGTTTTAGATATAACAAGCATGGTACAAGAATGTAGGTCTAGATATACTGATTAATCACAGCAGACAAAAATGATACCACAATTACATGACCCACAGTAATTAATCAGTTAACTTTGAGTATTTGTTTTATAGCAAAGAATTCCTTTGTACAGTTCCACATTTAATAAACTTTCACAGTAAGCTTTGACTAAGCCCAAGCACCATTTCTCAGTTTGGGGAGACATGCCATGGGCCATACTGCTCATGGAAGGCAAAAGAAATCCTGCAGACTCCTTCTAAGCCCAGGATAGCTGCATCCTGTGCAGTTGAGGTTTGTCATGCTCACAAACTCCTCATGGCAAAGCTGATCCAACCCACATCTGTCAATTTGAGTAGCTGAGAATTGCATGCAGTAAGCTTGCAGCTTGCTAGAGCTCTGGAGTGCCTTTTTCCTGCCTCTGAGCAGAATGCTGCATTAACCAACCCAGTGCCACCTTTCCCAGATCACAAGTTGCTCAGAGTGCCTGAGAAAACATTCCAGTTGTCCTGAACTGTATGCACCTTCTGCAGCCCAGCTGAGCCTTTCACACTCTGGTTAACAGGGAGCGCCTTCTAGTGGGCCACTCTGGTTTCCTGAAGAGGAAAACAGGAGTCAGCCTGCTCCAGCACTCTCAGTTCTTATGAAGGTCTACTAAAAGGAGCACGGACAGCACCTAGGATGAAAATGTTACCTACTCAGGAGGTAGGGTGTGTGCCAGGGGAACATTTTTAGAATGGACACATGACTGTGTCTCACTATTACAAATGCTGTCAGACACTACCATCTAACACTGAGGACCTCCACTAAAAACAAAAAGCAAACAAATATACAAATAAAAAGACACACAGCAATTATGCTGCTCATTCTTACATCAAAAGAATCCAAAAAGAAGAAGAAAACCCCACATTTCACTTACCCTGAATTAGTTTGCTCACCTCTCCTTTCCAGTTAAATAACGGTTTGATGAAATGTTAGTACCACTGAATTTGCCAAGCCAAAAAGGTAAAATCAACTACACAAAAGCATTACTTCATACATGTGGGTTCAAAAGCTCTGTTTCTTACCCAGTGGAGGCTGGAGCATGCCCCCTTTCTTCTCACAGGTGCCAATGGGCTGTATGTCCGAGGAATCCACAAGCCTCCAGAAATCATTTTTGTTGTCACTTCCATCAAGCCGCAACCTTAGCCTGGCACCAGTGATTCCAATGACCGTGGCTATACAGACTGAGGTAACGTTGCGAGGATCGTGGGCTTCCAGCTTCATGCCGACTTTGAAATCGTTCGTAGGTGGACTTCTGGACTACAGTAAGAGACAAAAGACCTTTTCTTATTTTCTTTAGCGTTGCTAAATTTACAAGCTAGGTCACTATACAGCTTTTGTTCACCCAAACATAACAAATAACTGCTAAATATCAAGAAGCTTTTCAACTTGCAGCGTTTAGCAGCAGATCAGAGAAGAAGCGTGGATAACCTCCCACCAGCACCATCTCAGACACTTGATGTTTCTGCTTCATAAACATGACTGCCTGCTAAAAAGATCAGCACTGCCAGGAAGGGTAACAAGGGAATCCTGACAAAAACAGGAATACAAAGATGGGGGATTAATACTTGCAGTGAATGGAAAGCAAGGACCTCAAGAAACATGACAATCAACAAAACCAAACAAACAAGAATAAATATTTCTTTTGAACTGAAAGCTAGTAATTCTCATTTTACTAATGTTTTGGAAATTCAAACAAAATTTGAACCCTACAGCACTAGGCACTAAAAAAAAGCTTAAGTCATGAAAAAGGTTCTGCATCAAAAAAAAGCTTATAATGCAAAGAAAGAAGAAAAAGGAATTAATGTTAACTGCAGTTTACAGAAGAAGGAAACAGACAGTCCTAAAGACACACAGGACTTCTGTGCTGAGATATGAACTGCAGCTTGTGCTGATTCACAGAGAACTGAATACATTCATACAAACACACAATGAAATGCCAATTTAATTAGCAGCCATGAGATTTTTGGAAAAAGATAATGGCACTGGGGAAAAGAAATGTGATGAATGCAACTTGGTCTTTGAGCTGATCTTTATGTCACAGCTAAAGGTTAAAAAGAGAAGGAGAGTATTTTTTTTACTGAGCTGTTACCAGGAAAAGAGAAAAGCTCACGGAAAAATACAGTGCTGCCAGAGACTGACTGGATGGCAGTCTGCTTGCTTGCCTACTGGAGTAATGTAGGCAATAAGCTCATCTAATTATGATCAAAAATTTGTATCAGCGCTAACTGGGATTGAATGATTCACCTAGTCACGTAGAAAGATTACTCCAAATCTCACTGTTCTCTTTAGCCATCTCTTCCCTTCCAGCCTGAACTTGCTCGTGGTAACTTATATCTTACCTTAAATTCTCTCTGCATCTTTGAACCTAATAACAAAATCTACAGTGTATTTCCAGAGGGCAACCTGATCATTTCGCAGTAATGTTTCATCAAGTTAAGCAAGCCAAGCACTGAGGTTTGTTGTAGGAGGTGATGACTGCTACTCTCTCATCCTGGAAGACCTTTTCTGCGCCTCCTCCAGGAGGAAGCTGCCCATGGACACAGACACCAAGAACCACAGGCAGCCTTCCATGTGCCATTTTAACCCAGTAACTACCCAATACAGACTCACACAACCCAAATCCCTAACACAGGAGGCAGGTAGCAGGACCACAAACACGGGCATTCACACTCACCAGATTTCTGTGCCCCTTCCCCTGCCCATCTGGCCAGGTCAGGTAGGGTTGGGATCCACAGTAGGCACACAGGGTGCACCTGTATGCCTGGGCTGAAGAAGCTTGCTACCTGAACAAGCGTTAGCAATATTTTGTCTCCACCACATTCAATTTTTTAAAGCATATCTTGCTCTACCTTCACCATGCTGTGCAGGTGCAGTGTTCCAAACAGACCCTGATGAACAGGAGGAGCCCTGGAGGAGCCAGAGCCCCCCCCCAAAAAAAACACACACCCAAAGACAAGCAATATTCAGTGAGAGTTGAGGGTAGCATCTGCCAGTGCTGCATTTAGCCAGCAGGCTGTCTGAAAGGGGAGCCTGAGCATATTAAATTTAAAGGGCAATTCAATTTCAGGATATTGCTTGTCAAGCTGTTACTTTCTACAACCATGAAAGGCAACCGAGATTGAAAATTTAGGGACTTGGTTTATTTGTTTGTAGGAAAGGTGAGCTTGTTTAAATAGTAACAACTCAAGGCACTGTACTAAAAAGGTGACTCCTCCATGGCAGTTCCTTGCAGCAAAATAATAAAACCTGCTAGATTAAGAGCCTTGATTTAACCTCTGTTCAAACCACAAGGAGCTTTTATGTTTTAAATTTTCAGCTGCTTGAAAAGAAGTTGCAGGGTGAGAGAAAGGGATGTGGAATGCTTCAAAATTGTAGGTAGTAATTAAAAACAACCGAGAGCAACAGATAAAATACATGCTGAATTAAGATAAAGGCTCTAATCAATTCCCATTAGCTGACTATGCCTGTATCTTAATTTATGGTAGAGACTTTAATCTACTGCTCCCCAGGTCATTTTTAATTACTACAAAATTTGAACTTTGTAAAATTCCCACAAGTCACAGTTTTTGGATATAATTGTCAAATTAAACTTCTCTCCGCTTGCTTTTTGGCTGGCCAGAACAGTGCCTTTCTTTCATTACACAGAGTGAAAATGACATGTACAATTCATGGGTAACCCAATAAAAGTCAAATTAGTCCTACACAAAGCTCAAGCGCTTTAGTTTCTAAAATATGCAAACATTAATTAGTGAGAGGAGCTAGCACTGCGATAATTAACATTGCGTATCACTTTCTACTTAAAGGTCAACCTCTAGAAGAAACAGCAAGTCTGCATATGTAAATTGTTTTGAAATTTGCTAAGCACAGACATTAAAGCTCTTCTTCCCAACCCACACACTGTTTAAGCAATCCAAGTCCCTCAGATTTATGTATCTCAGTTAGTGCACATTACTTAAACACCTTTATTTAAGATGTTATTCTGTTCAGTTCAGACCTCTTGAGCATTAGTAGCAAAGAGAAAGATGCAAGAAAGACACACGAAAAGGCTCCTGAATTGTTTTCTGCCATAGCTATGCATCTCAAGAGCATCTGCTCTGGTCATCATGGCCCATGGTCTGTGAACATGGCACTGCTGCTCTCTGCCTCTACCCAGGCAGGGCTTGGGGTCTCTGCTGGTATCCACTCTGAAAAACACATACTGTAGAATTAATTTCTGAAGATAATAAATTTTAGGTGCTCCAGGCAAAAAGAGATAGGGACATTGCTATTTTTTTTAGCCCTCTCTCACTGAAGCAGCATGAGAAGGGCATTTATCCTCATCTCCTGAAGAGAAAGCTGGGATTCAAGATCTAGTATGAGGAAACACTACCACCTGCTCTCCCCTCTCCCTGTTCTCTGTTCCTCCAAGCAACTTCACATACGCTGTGTGATGCTCCTCTCCTCCTTGGATTATCCATTCATGTTGCTTTTTGTTTGGTCCCCACTGGGGGCCAGTTATCACAGACTGCCAGTGAACCCTTGAAAATACCTTCCTGAACAGATACAGTCCAGCAAACCACACATGCCCAGCTTGTCACACCTGGTACAGTTCTCCCAACCTGAACTACCCGATCCCTCAGCATCCATCTGCCCAGTACCGTGAAGGCATACACACTGAAACTCTTCCTATGTAGTTCTATGCAGCCAGCTCAGACACTCCTCAACTTGGGAACAGACTGGACCGCAGCTCCCCCTACAGAGAGAAAAATCCCTGCAGAGATGACAGTCTCCAGAGGGCTAAACAGCTGAAGGTCATTAGCTGGAGTGGGTTTACATGGTGAGGTTCTGGTTGTGGGGGCTGCAGGGGTCGCTTCTGTGAGAAGAGCCCAGCAGCTGCCCCATGTTAGATAAGGGCCAGCTCCAGGCAGATCCAAATGGATCTGCCTCTGCCCACAGCCAAAAGCCAGTAAGTTATACCTCTGGGAGAGCAAATTTAAGAAAGGGGAAGAAAACTGCTGGGCAATGGCAGCTGGGAGAGCGAGGAGTGAGAAGCAGCCCTGCAGCCCTCAGGTGAGTGCAGCAGGAGGGCAGGAGGTGCTCCAGGCAGGCAGCAGCAGTTCCCCTGAGTCCTGTGCAGGGAGAGGCCCCTGGTGGAGCAGGCTGTCCCCCTGCAGCCCATGGACCCCACATGGAGCAGATCTCCACGCTGCAGCCCCCCCATGGGTGGAGGAGCCCCCGGTGGAGCAGGTGGATGTGGCCTGGAGGAGGCTGCGGCCCATGGAGAGTCCCCGCAGGAGCAGGCCCCGGGCTGGAGCTGCAGCCCGTGGAGAAGAGCCCACGCAGGAGCATTTCCCTTTGAGGAGGCGGAGTGAGAGCATGGTTGTGGTAGAGCTCCGCTGCCCAGTTGGGCAAAACCACCACGTTAGCTCACACGAGATGGTAGATTTAAACTGCATCAGCACATAGATACAAAACCATAGGACAAGGGGGGAATGAAACTTGCACTCCTTACAACCTCTTACTGAACAAGGAACAATACTGAATCCTGATAACCTGAGACTGTAGCTAGTGCGTGCATGCACTTCAGTAAGCTTGATCTTTTAAATTCCTACCTTTGATACATTTAACCTTAGCCACTCTCCGTATTTTGCCTAGCAGAAGTACCACTTCAGCAACTGTAACTACACTAAGTTCAGGGACAAATAGTTTTCTTCATGATAAATCTAGTATTTCCTTTGTATTCTATCACAGAATCACAGAATGGTTTGGGTTGGAAGGGACCTTAAAAATCACTCATTTCCAACCCCCTGCCATGGGCAGGGACACCTCCCACCAGCCCAGGCTGCCCAAAGCCCCATCCAGCCTGGCCTTGAGCACCTCCAGGGATGGGGCACCCACAGCTTCTCTGGGCAACCTCTCCCAGTGCCTCACCACCCTCTGAGTGAAGAATTTCTCCCTTATATCCAATCTAAATCTATCCACTTTCAGTTAAGAAACACTGCCACTTCTCCTGTCATTACAGGCCCTAGTAAAAAGTCTTTCCCCTTGTTGTTTTTTTTTTTTTGTTTGGTTGTTTTTTTTTTTTGTTAATATATATTTTTAAACTCCAGTATCTATTACACCCTGCTCTGAAAGAGCACAAATGCAACATATTTGAGAGATCCAGAAAAGAAGCAGTGAATAAGTTCTCCTGCACATGCAAACATGTATTTTGTATATCTTGTAGCTTTTCAGAATTGAAAGGACTCTTAAAGAAATGGGGCTGGAGAAAGACTCCTCTGATTATCAGCCAAATTTTAATTCTCACAGTAAACCTCCAAGATTACTGGAAAAAAATAGAAGATATTTCTGAACTCTGATAAGCCTATCTGTTTTCATTAACTAGTCTTCTTTTGAAGAAAAAGAGTCCAAAGCTACAACTTTAATGAAACCCTCAAAGTTTGGCTTAAGGCAGAAACCAAGAATGGAAAATCTCAGCCTCTGGCTTCTGCCAAAACTGTAAGCTACTGATAAACAGAGATCAAAAGAAGTCAAACAGAAAGTTTGCAAGCAGTCCGAACATAAAAGTTGCTTCATCGTCACCCTGTAACATAGAAGCACACACACATACGCTTGCAAAGTATTTGGCATACCTGTCTGAAGCAATGCAGAGGGGCAGCTACTGATTCAGTCTCTTTCAGATAGTCATCCCAATTAAACTGCTCTGGAAGACATAAGATAAAAAAGATCATACAGACAGTTTTAAAGGGAACACAAATTAAGAGAGGTTGGGGAAAGAGAGGGCAAAAAAAAAAAGAAAAACATCCAACTATCTCACAGAATACATTTTTTTCCAAGAAGAGGATTACAATAAAACGTAAACTCCATCTTTGCAAAATACACAACCCTTGAAATAGCTTTCTGTAAATCCATCAGCAGAAATCACACAATTGGCAGATACCAATATAAACTTCCCACGAGTTCTTCGTTTTGTGGTCCACACACAAAGACACGAGTTGGGATATCTAGACTTAATTCTCTGCACAAAGACCTCCCAAGCATCCCTGGACAAATCCCACCAGTGGTTCCACACCTCAGTGCCCCTAACAAGTGCATGGGAACAGCAGCACTGGTATAACAACTTTAGAGGAGTGCTGAAATAATACATGGAAAAAAAAAACACAGATGTTTTGTGTCTGATGAAGCATATGTTGAGAACCACTATCCCCAGTCCAATAGATCAAAAGGATTAGCTTGGCCTTCCAACTGCATCTTTCTGTCTTTTCCTCTGAAGTCACATAAAGGTCTGCCTTTTTAAGGTAAATACTATTGTAATGTTCAGCAACAGAATCATTTTTTCCAGCGTTAATATTGGCATTGCTTATGTACACAGCTGAGTGTATCCTGCATTTGATTTAATCAGCGTTACCATTTTTTGAACAAATGGAACCGTACGAAGCACTAACGCCACAGATATAAGCAAGCAGTAAATCAATATAAAGCACAAGAGAAAAACTACCATGCCACAGTTTTTGTCCTTAAATCACCTAGGTGAGCTTGTTTGTTTATTTTTCTTGTTCAGGCAGCTGGCATCTTCCTGATGTTCTTGAAGAGCACATCATCACTTAACCCACCCCAAAATAGTGCAACGATGCCACCCAGTGGCTCCAAGCAGCAGTCACTTCACAGAGCATAATCCGTAGCAGCAATGGAGAAACTGCATCATGGTTATCAGTAAAAACCCTACAGGGCACAGCTAAACACATCCCTGCAGTTTTCAGAAGCAAAGAAAAATCAGAAAATGTCAGTGTTTTCTTGCACACTGCTTCTCTGAAGGATGTCTGTCGGTTTGAACCTAGTGTTTGCCTGCATTAGTACAGCACTTAGTGAGGCACTTATATGGGGCTTCAAGCAGAAGAGAAACACCCCTCTGGGCTGCTCAGATCCTCATTTTTTGTCACAGCAGATTCAAAAGGGTATTAATGATCTGCCTGTGACACCACAGAGGGCATGCAGTTGCTAACTATATAGCAAGACAGTAACATTTCAAGAGCTGTTAATTTGGCAGACTGGACTGTCTACAGGCTGCTAACAATGACATTTCGGTAGGACACCTTTCAAGAGGAGAAACCCTATTTCACCCCCTCTGAAAACATTACATCCATACATCTGCATTTCCCAAACTACCTCAGTTGTTATAACAGGACTTGAAATCCTAGGTATTAGAACCATTTTCATCAAGCAAAATGATCTGAAGCTTACATTAGAACCACTCCACTTCTGAAGATAACTGTAGTAAATTAAAGGTCTCAGAAATGCCTGTAATTATCATTTAATTACTGCAATCATAGAAAAGGGAAATTAAAGTATGTTGGTAGCATATAAGATGCATGTCTAGGAAGACAACCATATGGGAAAAAAATCTACCAAAAAAGCTTCCTTGTATCCAACATGCACAGGTAAAGAAACAGTTATTTTCTACATCTTCCTAACTCTAAAGCCCCTGAAAACATACAACTTCTGACAAATGAAGAAAATTCAAGAAAACGAGCTCCTGCTAAATGATTTAACATGCATTCTATTCTCCTTCCCACTCAAACCTGCAGGCTGAATTAAACAGCACAAGAAAAACCTATTATGCAACAAGCCCAACTCCACCAACCCAGCAGCAAAGAGAAAATTGAAAAAAGGAGTTTTTATGCTGAAGAACAAGTAAGCATATAGTAGGAACAGGGAAAACAAAGCAAACAAAAAAAATCACAGAAGGTAATTAGGACACTTGGTTAAAAAAAAAAAAAAAAAAAAAGTCTGTAGCCAGCACAGGAATGCAATTCTGAAACAGGGACGCAAAAAAAATGAGCGTGGCCCAACAGCCAGACTAATTAAAAAGCAATAACAAAAAATGGATGAAATAAGTTTATGCCATTGTTGCTCACAATAGCATAGACTTACACACCAATGGCACTTGCTGTTCTTTCCAAACCTGCCTCTTTTTGACCAGCTCTGCCCATCACAGAATAACTTTGTCTAGAAGGGACCCCACGAGGCCGCTAGTTCGGCTACCTAAAGCAGGTCCCATCACAGCCAGGTTGCTGAGTTCTGAGGATCTCTGTGGGTAACCTCTAAACTCCAATTTCTGGGTTTCATCACCTTCTACGTGAACGTTTTCTTTCCTCATATGACTCAGGAACACCTCACATCCCAACAAGCAAGGCCAAGACATCCTTCCCCTGCACCTTGGAGACGCATCCATCTTGGTCTTCTCCACAGCCACCTGTCAGGCAATTCAAGACAGCAAGATCATCTCCCACAAGCTGCTGCTTCTTCCAGCCAAGGAAATCAGTCTTCTGGTGTTGTTATCCATTTTCTGCTTACATCTCACAACCTTCTTGCTTGTGGTGACCTGCCAGCTGACTTGCTCTGGTACATCACTGTCATCTCCATGCTGGGGAGCTCAAAACTGAGCAGAGTACTCCAGACACAGTAACACAAACACCAAGAAGAAAGGGCAAACCCCTTCTCTCAGCCCGCTGCCTACATCGTTGCTGATTTGACCAGGGGTGCAGTTGACGTTCGTCACCACAAGAGCACACTGCTGCCTCACAGGCCCTTTTGGCAGAGCTCCTTTTGAGGCAGCCCGCCGCTGGCCTGCCTGGCCTCAGCAGGCCCCAGGTGCAGGTGTCTTCCCCTGAGATGTACAGGGCTCCCACCAGCCCGACCTGTAGTTCCCCAAATACTCCCTTCTTGACCCCAGGCATGTGTTTTGCCTTTCTCCAGTCATCATCAGACTTCCCCAGTCACCAAAATGATAGGGAAGCCCCAAATCCGACAGCTCCCACAGGCACCCCATCTGGTGCCATGGACAAGTGGACGTCCAGTTTGCTGGAGTGCTCCCTAACTCCATCGTCCTCTTCCACACACAATGCTTCAGTTTAGTTCCAATCCAAGTTTTACAAATTTTAAACTGAAAATTTAAACTACGATTCAAGTGTAGCTTGTAAATATGTAGAGTCTAAGGTTCTGGTTTATTGTTGCTTAGTACAGTATTACCACAGTCTAAGTTCTGTTTGTACAGATGGAGCACCTCGTGCCTTCTCATCTCATCCCAAGGATCCTTTAGCACACACCTAAAACTTCTGACACGGAGATCTCTCTTTTCTAGTCTTGATCCTACCACCCCTCTTTGCCAAAGACGATGTTTCCTTTTAATTTTTGTTTACACACTCCTGCAAACACAGTAGGTAACGTATAAGGTATTTCATATCCTCCTTTTATTCCTTGTAACCTTCCACACATTGGGATCATTCAGCTAGAATTTTTCTACTCCTGCCTTTCCCTACCTACTTTATTTTTTTTTCAGCTGCTCTTCTCACACTTCTATTTCCCATCCTCTTCAACTTTTCCTATCATGCATCCCCTTGAACAATCTGGAGACTTGCTAGATTGTAGCCCAAAGCACTGTAAAGCAACTTTCTTCAACCAATGACCAAAAGAGGCTCTTTCTTCTTCCTGGCCACCAACAAGCAACAACACAGGACAAAAATTTTCATTTAATCTATCAAAATCAGATACCTTGCACGATATTGAGCAAGTCACTCTCTCTAGGTGTTTGACAGGGCTGAGTCTGGATCTCATGAGTAAATTCAGTGCTCAGAAAGCTGATGAACAGCTAGCCCCCAGTGGAGGAACACTGACGACAGAGTAAAGCCTGCTTGCTTAGCACTATTCCTACACCAAGCATTTTCAACATGCTGCTCCCTACTTCAGAAGAAGGCAAGAAGTTTTATAGTGACTCACAAAATATGGTTTTCTTAGTCACATGTGAACAGCACTTTGCTGGTGGGGGCTGTCTTATGGGGCTCCATCTGTCATGTCAGACAACCTGATTTTGAAATACAGACATGCTGAGTCCAGTCTGACTGGAGTTACACTACTGCAGAGGGGAAACGAGACATGTTTTGAGACATGCAAAGTGCATTTGTAACAGAGCAGAACACTACCACCGATAGGATCCCAATAAATGAAAGAAAGAAGTCTGAGAAACTGCACCAAGCTGTACTAGGGCTGGTGGTAGCAGAGTATCTCATCCGTACGCAGAAGGTCATCAAGGCAACCACTCTATTACTGTACTGGTCAACCAGTATGTTCAATGAATACACAACAGTAACCCACTCCTCGGGCAGTATCCAGGATAACCCCTGAACCAGGCCATTTACTAGGAGTCAGAGGGTATGGAAATGCAAGCTGAGTGAGAGTTTAAGTAACCCACTGATACTTTATCAAGAGCTAAGGATTCCCGGAAAGATTTTCTACTTCAGTCAACAGTACTTGTGACAATTCTTGCTGCCCCAAATTCAAGCAACTACCACAAATATATGAGGAGCATATAGGGATGTTGCTGCCCTCTTACTGAACCTCACAACGGTCCAACTGCCCGCAGTCCCACATACATGCTGCCCCACGGCACCTGCTGAGGATACACCAGAAGTTGTCTACATTTGACACGAAGCTGGATCATTTTTGGTAAGTGTGAAGTTTCCCTTAGTTTGTTATTGATAGACAATTGATTTGAAAACAATTTTTTAAAATAAAATTAGAATCCAGTTAGCAACACCCAAAAGCCTTTCTTTGGCACCAGCAAATACATTAAGGAAAGTAAAGGTAACTGCGGTATAAGAGGCATTAAACAGGGAAATACATGATTAGAACAACAGACAGATGAGTAAATGATCTAAAAAGTTAGTGTTTACAGAGAGTTTTTGATTATATGTATAACACGTACTTGTCTTAGCTAATAAAACTATCAGACTCAAGTCAAGCAGTTTCAACCATCATTTGCTACACCAAAACATGCTTTGCTAAGTTAAACAAAAGCAATGGTATGTTAACTACCCATCAGTAATAGTCAAAGACATTAGAGGAGGAAAAAAAAGCCTCAAGAGACATTGCAATCCAAATGCATACGTTTCCTTTCAGTACACCTTAACTAATAACCTGACAGCTGCAATACCTACCACTGTTTAAAGACGGGTTGTTTGCCTGCTGATTCTTGCCATCTTTCTCTTTTTTAATATTCTTTGAATCTAAAAGAGAAGATTCCATCACATAATAAATGCAATATTCCCATCATAATGATGTCCAGCATAACACAGAATGCTTTCAAACAGTACAGAATGTGTTGTTCCAAAAACTTTCTTTCATCTACTTCAGTGCATAATCAAAAGGTAAATTATATTGCAAGTTTAGACACTGTACTATTTCTCTTTCAAAATATATTGCAAAGTACAGCATGAAAAAGCAGAGCTTGATTACATTATATCACATTATCAGAATACATCTAGTTGTAGAAAATGTAGTACTAGCTCCACAAAAAGCATTCCTGCCTTTTTTTTCCAAATAACTATATTCAATCTACACAATTTGAGATCCTCAAAATTTCTGGGTATCTTTTTAGATCTTGTTCAGACCATTGCAAGCTGAGAAACAACAAAATAACAAAACCTAATAGTGTATTTCTGAGCTAAAGATGTAATTCTGTATTTCTTTTGTTGAATCCTCGAATCTATTTGCCTCACTGCGGCAAGGACTGATAGCCCCAAGGCTGATGTGGGGACTTGGGCCTGGAAAAGGTAGAGAAAAGGTCCCAGGGGAGGCTGGTCAGGACCTTTAAAGCCTATTAGTGTCGAGACACCTTCCACATATAAGATAACCCAGACCCCAGAGTTGTAGAAAACAAAGAGAATTTCAGTGACTTGAGAGAGGCTACATAGGAGTAAACTGGCAACTACGTAAATGCTCAAAATGTGCTGCAGAAATACCACCTGCTTCTCCCAAGGCACATATGGAATATCCCAGATCCTTGAAAGTATGGGAAAAAATGCAATGTTTACTCCTTTACTTAGTCTTCTTTCTTGACTTGCATGCTCTTTCTTTGAGAAGTTTGTCTTCAAAGGTTTGAAAGCAGCTGACAGGTGTCCAAGGAAAAATCCTTATGGGAGTCGACTTCAGATGGACCTGCTGCAATACTTCTGGGTGGTGCCCACAGAGCTCTAGGCCTTGCTCAGGAGTAGGGCTTTAACCTGCACAAGTGGACACCCTACACCTTGACAACTATCAGCGAGAACTCAAGGGGTAGCACTAAAACTACACCAGTGGCAATGACAAGACACAAGGACAACAGTCACCGTCTCCTTCCTACAGTTCAAAATATATTCCATTCAGCCTCTTTGGGATTGAACTGAACCCAGCCAGTGCTCTGCTGGGTGCTGACAATCACTAGAAAAACCTTCCCCTATGTTCTACAAGCTTGGTTATTCCAGCTTTCAAAAAAAAAAAAAAAAGGAAAAAAAAAAAAGAAAGTCATGGGACTGTCGCATGATAGCTTGCAGAACAGAAGACTTTCCTATCCACTTATTACTGAAGAGGAAATCCAGCGGAGTCCCACATAAGAGGCTTATTGAAGGACAGAACTAATAACTGCTTCCTGCGAATACCCAAAGCTTGAAAGGGCAGCCATGAAAGAACATCGACCCAACAGTGCCAGATTTCAAACGAGATGACAGCCTTTCATGATAAGAGAAATCAGGAACAGGTGAAAGAATGTGGAAACCCATGGCCTGCACACCAGATGAATTTTTGCTGACATCTCCCACCCAAATTGTTTGTTTCCTGTATCAGGTTTAACGCCTATTCCACAAATACTATAGCAAATAAAAACGCTGAAATGGAATACCCTCAGTGGCACATTTTAATTACAATCATCAATTAGAAAACTGTGAGAACAAGAAGAGATGAAAACATTAATGAAAAGAAATAAGTTCCTTAAGATACCTCTTTCATTTGAGCTGGAGGCATCTTAATTGATAATAAAAACTCAAAGCACTATCATTTATTTTTATATAATATACATACACACACACACACATATATATAAGATATATATATATATATATATATATGATAGATATATATATAAAGTTTTTATATAAGAATAGCAGAAAGCTATTCTTTAAAACGCTCAAGCAAAACACACCCAGCACATGCAGAGGTATCCAAGAAATAAGTCTGATTAAACCAAGATTGTTTTTCAAGTCCGTCTGTCCCATACTCCCCAGCTTTTACGCATGCCATATTTCAATGTTGGGAAGACCACTACAAAGCTGGAGTGTTTTGTCTGCACAGATGAAAAGCCATTAACTGTAAGAATTACTGTCCTGTTTTCCCTTGAGATACCCTGGGTATACTACCACCTCCCACCACTCGGAAAGGTTTCCCTCAGTCTGCACTTCACAAAGGTTATGATGCTTTGGTGCAGTGCGCCTCTTCCAATGCCATTAGTCAGGGTGGATAAGAATTTATGGATTATTTTTAGAAGAAACATTAAGGAAAATAAGATTTATTAAAAACTGAATTTATAAATCTAAGTGCCTTTAAGTGTGCCAGTTTACATTGGATATTTTGATAGCCTATACTCTGGTAAATTTAATTCCAAAAGATCACTGGAAACAAAATTAAGAAATGGAAGAGTATTATGTCAAATAATTGGACTGAGAAATATGACTCCCTCAGCAAATGAGGCTCAGTTTGGTCAAACTTTGACGTCTAATTTCAAAAATGAGGTCATGAATAGCTCTGCAGGTACAATCAGTATTTTCCCTTCATCTCCCTCAGCTAGCTGCTCAATGATTTACTTCCCTCAAAGCTGAAAAGTGGACTTGAAAATGGGAACTTTATTTATATATTAGAGTTTGAAGAGATTTATTAGTTCTAGAAGCTTGAAGTTCATTGTGACAAAAAGAAGCCAGGTGAATTCATTATCTATCTTTCTCTGTTCATAAAGTTCATTTATAAAGACACAAGCTTGAATGTACTTCCCAATGCAAAACACAGTATGTTTTAGATCACTTTGTCAGAACACAAAAAAAATGAAATGATGCTACTGTGGATCTAATTATATGCTATTCAGTTCTCTTTAAAAAAAAAAAAAAGGCAAAGAAAGAATTGGGTCCTAATTGGGTCCTATTTTCAAATAAAGTGTTAAAAATACAGCAATATATCTAAGTATATATTTAAGAGCTTTTATATTCACTGTGTAAATACATATATAGGTAGCCTATAATGCATACAGGCTAAATATCTACTTTCAAAACCCTGCAAAAGAATGTTTTCTTATAGGTAGCTAGATAAGAATACAGCATATATTAAAATTAATAAAAAATAATTAATTTTTAATTAATTAAAAAAATAAAAAGTAGCGGCACATTCTATTCACCAAATAGCAGTTTTTCAACAGCACACTCCATAAACTAAAGCAGTAGTTACAAAAGAAGATTAGAATAGGTTATTTAACATAGTGTTTTCTCCTTACTGATTCAAAACTCCACGTGTTTACATTACTTCACCCTATCTGTAACCACAGAATTCTTCTGCTGATAAGATTACTCAAGAGACGACAGGCAAGAGTAACCACATCTATCAAGCAAGAAATTAGAGACAAAGAAGAAACAAGACAAAGCTATCTTTACTGGCTTGTGAATGTCAAAAAAAAAAAAAAAAAAAAAAAGCACCGTTAGAACGTAATAAGGTCTGGTAAAGATGATCCTAGTGACCAATTTATATTTCCTCTTATAAACTCTCATGTTGAACTGCAGCTTGTTCTCTGAGACACTTAACAAATCCCCAACACTTCTTTCTGGGATAAGTTAATCTTTCAGCAAACAAGATGGATTCTTTGCCTGTATACTAGCAAGCATCATCTCTTTTGACAGCATTAGTTTTTAGAGGCGTGTTACATGAGGCATCATGTATTTGTCATCTTTTAAGACTTCCTATTTGCTTGCTGTCCATTATGGGGGAAAAAAAGTTCACAGTCATGCCTTCGAGATCTGTGCAGCTACTTCTTAGCCATCTTAAAGTCTTCAACTCCAGCTTGTGTTCAAAACTTGGCAGGAGACCGCTTTTCTCAAAGAAATCCTTTGTCTCTTCCAGACAGACATGAAACACGTCTGGGTGACAGAAACATTTGCTCTTCCCATGCCATGCAGTTACTTACCCTCATACAAAGTTTGCTAAGACGAGCCCAAGACTTACCATAGGTCAGGAAGGGGCTGCCTTTGCTTTCTAGCGCACAGAGTTGTGAGCACATTTTAGCTACCCTTCCCCAAACTTCAGTGCATGCAGTTGAGCATATCAAGACAGAGTGAATCTAAAATGCCTCCTTCCCTTTCTTTCTCTGCTTCCCAGTGGGATTCTTATCTGCCCAGCACAGAGTGCTTCTTTCAGTATATCTACACAACAGCCATACAGAAAAACTACAAGAGAAGGGGGTAGACTTCCTCCATAAACTCTTGGTTCAACAATTAAATAGATGACTGCTGCCATTCCAGAAAATCTATTATAGCAAGACAATTATTTACCAAGGGAGCACACAAGCACATAAAGCAGCTTGGGCTGAAGGTGGAAAGCTCAAGAAAAACACAAAAGTATTAGTAATGCTTTAGGAGGGAAGCCTACTCATCTGAAAGGTTTAAAAAGCAGCAGAAAGCTGGTTTGAAAGCGTGGGTCTTTCTCGCTTTACATTCTCTTTGTTTCACCAACCCAAACACACTTGTTATTTTTCTTCAGCCTCACTCTTTATTTTAGCACTTAATTCACAATTATCTTCTGCAGACATGACACAGTGGGTATCACACCTTTGTACTACACTGTGCATTTGTGGACAAATTTCTTTAAAAGTGTACATTTTTATCTTCAAGAGCTTGTAGAAGACAGCTGCTAATGCTATTCACTGCAGTAAACTTTTATTCCTTGCACTACTCAGTTATCCTCCTGATAAATTCTGTGCAGTTACAAAACAAAGCACTAAATTTCATTTAATACCACATCTAGACACACACTGTTCAATTTTAGAGTAGTATAATGACTTCAAGGCTGTCACAGGACAGAATTGCTTTGGCTGAACTTGTATAGAACTCCAGGCTAAGCTGAATTTAGCACACTTACTCTAAAACAATGTAAACTTCATACTTACCTGCGTTCAGTATATATCATAACTTCTCTTCTTGAATTTCATAGTATCCTAATTGTTAAGTAATGCACCACCACCACAGAAGAGACAGTTTAACAGGTTCCCTATTTTCTTTCCTCTTGGATAAAAGCTATCAGGCCTCACCTTTAGCTGCTGTTCTCCCCATGGTAACACTTCTGTGATCTTCTCTCTCACAATAAAAAGGCTGAAGTTGAAAGACCAGTTAATTCTTCCTTTCAGCACAACAGTTTCCTGTGGAGTAATAATACAACAAGTTAGGGGGGGTTGTTGGGGTTTGGGCTTTCTTGTTTTGGAAAAGGAGGATTTTTTTTTTGTATTGTTGTACAATTATCTTGCTGGTATAAAGTTGCAAACTTTTAACAAGCTGCCTGTAGAAGAGCGGCACATAAACAATGGATATGTCAAAGTAGCAAGGGTATAAAAGAACCCAAACTTTTATTTCGTTGATTTCGACAGTTTGTGGTAGAATGATTTGCATTTTCAGTGAATTTCTAATTCAAAGATATAAAACATGCTTTTTTCCTGTTCTCCCCAACAAACACTACTGAAAAATGGAAGAAAAACTCATGGATCACACGCTCCTCCTGGCTTACACACACAGAATTTATCTTCCATCACATAACTTTAAGCACCTCTGGACAAAATGCTCTTTCAGAACCACACCAGCAAGAGGAACGAAACACTGATGTAAGAAACCCACACAAAGGCACAACTGCTCACTGCTACCACTGCCCGTTACCGCTTATGGCAGAGGAGGGAGAACCCACCACAGGAACGCTGACTGCAGATAACTAGAAGTGACCCACACTCTTGCAGGGCTTAGAAACAACTTAGTTAAACCATTGTAACACAGCAAAAACAATTTCTGTGTGTGTGCTAGTGGGATTTTCTACTCCAGCATCAATTCTTTGCAACTTCGACTGCACTCAAACCAAGTGAAACTCAGCTGAGGCTTCTTACCCCTAAAGCAACAAAACGGGCAAGGTTATTATCCTTTCCCATTCACTATTCAAGTAATAATGCATAAAAATACATTCAAATTTCTGAATTATCTTCTTTGATCACTTTTTTTAAGGAAATCCCATGACCTTACAGTTAATATCATCAACAGTTCAAGATTTTTTTATTATTTTTTTTACTTAAACGTATGCACACTTTTTCAAAGATGAATTTTGCCAAAAATAACATTTTTGGAAGCTATACCTTTCCAGTGCTATAAAAAAGGAATAGTGGTTGAAAAGCAAGATATCTGTTTGGAATTTCTTGAATCTTACACTCACATGCTAAAAATTTGCACATAGATATTTCATGTAACAAGAGGTGTGTCATACAGGCAAGCATTTTCCTGAAATTGTGACATTTCAGTGAAATTTAGAGGAAATTGTACGCCATGGTGGTAGACTGCATGACAAAAACTTTATACAGTGCTAGCCCCATGGCTAAAACAAACTAAATATGGTTTTAAAAAGGCCAATGACTGAAGAATGCGTTTTGTGCGTGTCTGCAGCGCGTGGACATGCCGGATAGTTATTAGAAAAAAACTTAAGTGACTGAGACTTGAAAGCAGTTATAAATAAAACTGGATACTGACATAAAATAAGCAGGTTTTCCTACACAATAGCATTCACAGCATAAGTGATCATCAGGATTAAGAAGAGAAACCCTTTTAAGCCATCAAATAAATTTGAAATACGTGATACTTTCGGAGACTCCCCCCAAAATTCAAAGCTTTTCCGCTGCGAGTAATAAATTGCGAAAGGTGATGCAGAGTCAAAGTAACTGTTTTACAGATTACTTTAAAACAGTGCATGTTTTTTATCTTTTTGTTCCAAGCACCAGATTGCACTTGGTGCAGTAATAAAGATTCCAACCCTGCAGTGATAGTCATCAAGTTTAGCACAACCGGAGCGTCTGTCAGGACATAAAAAGGATTCCAGCGTTTCATTAGCCTCTGCTCCACCAGATAGGCGGTTTTACAGCGTGCCCACCGGCCTGTTAAAAATATAAGACAAGGGAAAGCTCTGAGAGAGCTCTCTGAAACAGGGCGAACCTCAGAGCAGGAATAAAATATACTACTGTTTGGAAGAGGTGCTACTTCAAACCCGCTCACACTTATAGTACTCAGCGTAGAGTCTCTATTAATTAGCTGGTAGATAGTGATGTTTGTCACAGAAGACATTCAAGAGTGGTGTTTCTGGGCCCCTAACAACCGCTACACGATGCTGGATGACAGCAAAATGAAAACTGGGTACCTCCAGAAGACAGGGCAGTCCCAGGAACAGCTTTCCAGCACCACCACCACCTTGCATGAGGGGTGAGCGAGGCTGATCACATTGCCTGCTACCTGAGGCACCTCTCACCATGGCCTCGCCATCCCCAGCAGAAACAGCCAGCTAGACCAGGGGAGAAACCTCCAGATGCTTTTCGGCAAAATTTCACAGAGAGGAGAGAGCTTGAGGCTTCTTTCTTGCGTGTGCAACAGGGTGAGAGAGCAGAGCAAGCAATACAGAAAGTTAAGGTTAAGAAATTAATCTAGAAGCTTTAAGAAACACAGGCAAAAATAAGTAAGTAAAACAAGGCCAGGAAAATGCAAGCAAACATAGAAATGTACTGGCGAGGCTGAAGCATGATAGAGTGAGCATGCACAAAGCAAGAGAATGAAAAACAAAGCTTCAAAAACCAAGCTAACCACAGTGACTGACAGTCATATACAGAAAATGGCCCAAACCCACCAATTTAGGAATGGAAGTACAGAATCTATACCAGAAACCAATGAAAAACTATCTGCTGTACATTAAAAAAGCAGAAAAATGCAGGAACCTAATGCACTGTATGATCTGTAAGGTCCCTCCCAACCCAAACCATTCCGTGATAACATTAAATTCATCATTAGAATATATCCTATTTAAAGCAATAGGGAAGATCTCCACACTCATCAACTGTATTATTTACATCATTTATTTCTTAATTCATCCTGAGTTTCATTCCTTCTCTGATTAGCTTCCGTTGCATCAGCTACTTTAAATTAAAAATAAATAAATAAATAGACAGAAAGCATTCATCTGCCTTTAATTCCTTACTGAAGTTTTTATTGTTAATGCCCAAATCACTCCTACTAGCCACCTCCCACTGTGTAAGTCTTTTGTCAGAAGGACATATATTACTAGACAAGCCTAAACCTTCCCCCTTAGCGCGTCGCTACCACATAGCACCAGGTGTCAGCAAACAGGATGGAAAGCATTTTTCCTAACACTGCTCTTCTCATTTTGAAAGACTTACTCAAAGGCCATGTGTTGCTGCAATTCCCGACCCCTGGTGGCCCACCGAAGGGACAGAGGACACAGAAGCACAGGCAGTCATCCTCCAGGCTCCGTCCCAACAGGGCGCTTCGCCAGCAACACACCGCTGCCACTGCCCTCAGAAGGCCCAGCCGCGGGGCTGGCACCACCACCCTGGCCTCTGTCACCATCCTCACTCCCTGTGTCCCTTCGCAGTCCCGTGTATCTCTTCACAGCCCCCTGCGACCCTTCACAGCGCCCTGCCCATCCCACAGCCCTGCAGACCCCGGCCCTACTCCCACACGGGGCAGCCCGTACCTGAGGCACTGACTCCTCTGACAGGAAAGCGCGGTCCCGCCACAGTGACTGCTCCTGTGAGGGGAATGCTGTCTTTTAACCTGCTCGTCTCTTCGCCTGTCATCTCTTAAATAAAAATACTACTTCACACCCTTTGCACAAGCCCTTAAGGTGCTGAAATAGGGCAAATACACAGAATAAGGTTAAGAAGAGGACTCCTGTAACATCCGATACTTCCAAGTCCCCTTGAAAATATCCTTCCAGGTAAGTCACCCGGTGCGTAGCCTCACGTGTACTTCAGGACATAGCAGCACATATCCCTGTATTTCTGCAGCAGGAATCTGAACTAATCTCCTGGAGCACACTGCAGTGCCATTATAGAAAGGTAAGATCTCAGGCTAGGAGAAGAAAAAAAAACTTACACCTGCACAAATATACCATAAGATTACAAGATGTGACACAAGCTTCATAGTCATAAAATCAGTATTATTTAGCATTACACATTTATGAGTTCAAAATAAATAAAAAAAACAAAACACCTGAAGATGAGGTTTTCCTTCATTTATGCATACATAGCCAGCTAGTGTTCTGACAAGAAACTTGATCTGAGTTAAAATCCCTTTGAGTTCAAATTCTCTGTACATAAATAAACACACAGATAAATAAATAAATGTGAGAATCATTCCAGGAAAGGAAATTAAACTTCCATATTTTCATATGGCAGAACTTGTAACGACCTGAGAGATCAGAACGCCTCTCTAGCAGATAAAAGCAGAGCTAGGCTCTTGGAGAATTTATGGGCTTTCAGAAGAGTAAATGCTAGCTAGCCATATGTATTATTATAAAAAACTATGGCTGAGTGTTTCTTAAGCTGTTAAAAGACAAGAGTAGGTAATTATGGCTCTCCAAATATCATTTTTTAACAGCGTTTGCCTTAACATCAAGAAGAAATTTTCTGCACTAGCGGAACTCCTCAGAAAGTCCCCAACAGCGCCCTGCTCACTATTTATGAAGTGATCAGCATACACAAACTTTTAAGCTGTCAGCAGTAAAACACCATTTGTAAATGTTCTGCCCTCCTTCCAGGTAAGTTTACAATCTGCTTTAGGATATGAGCAACTGTAATTACAGTGAATCGTACATTTTGAGACTACAAAAGCATAAGCTCTCAATCTGCACTAAGTGTATGGTATTCAGTACAGAGCAAGGCATTGTGTGTTTTAAAAAGCAGCGTTAACACGGTTTAGACCACAGATTTGTCCCCAAAATTCCTGAAGCAAAAAAATAAATACTTGTAAATGAGAACAGCTGAAAAATTAGGTCTCAGAATTAGATTAAATAACACAGCTGCTATCAACTGAAAACAGAAACATCCCATGTCATACGCTCAATATTTACTATTTGCATGGATGTTTTAAAAATTGAAGTTTAGAGCTGCTCTCTAGCTACAAGTGGAAAATATAAATAGCTTCTCCCCTCTACACACACCCCCCATCCTGCTTTAAAAGTTGGAAGATATGGGGTTGTAAAAACCTGAAAAAGGAAATGGTATGTGTGAAGTCAGCAGTTCAGCAAAGAGGCTGGCTGGCCATTAACAGCTTTAAATATTCTTAAAACACCAGCCTTCCCACATGAAAGGGTATTCTAACATTATATTCAAATAAATCAAAAATACAGTTCGAAGCACTTACATTTCCATCTAAAGTAAAACTGTCAGTTTTAGTAGTTTACCAGTGCATTTTTGCAGTAGCATAAGAGCTCGACAAATTGTTTAAATGTTTTGGTGGATTCAACTCACCAAAATCTCTGTGCTGCTTTTCTGCTTCCCTCTTCAAGCCTGGAATACTGTTCCTGAAGCATTCATCATCATTATTCAGCCTGGCTTCGTTCAAATGCCTAACTCAAATTTCGTTCACGAAGCAAACTAATTAAATCATGCATCAAAAAAATAAATATATACACATACACACATGTCTTGCATGATGAAGACTGGCTAAGAGCTAAATACCTGCACGAAATTCCCTGTACACCCAGATGCACCTCCTCTGCCTCCAGCTCAGCCTCCCCTGACACAGCAGAGAGCTCTCTATTTGTTCTGGGAGGCACCGAGCATACTTTAAGCACAGTGCAAATACAGCAGGTAAGGGAGAAAATAAATTGCTACTGCAAACATAGTAAGAGATGCCCAGAGCCTAGGGCGGAATGGGATGCTAGAGATCCCTACAGGGCTTTTCTGCGCTCATCTCTGACAGACAGCAAGCAACAGCAGCGGTTTTAAAAGCAGTAGTAAGAAAGAGTGTGTGTGCTCAGGGGAAACGGGGAGAAAGACAAGCAGAGGAGGGCTGGTGGAAAAGGGTTTTACAACCTCATAGATAACTCTGGCTTCCTCCCGTCCACATTGCCACCAAGCGCTGCAAGGGACTGCTCAGGCTCAGCCCCGAGAGGATCCGAGAGCCCCACGCACGTATCACAGAGCTGGGAAATCCATCACGATTTCACACGACCACCTTTTGTCTGCTGCAGAAATCTACGAAAGTACACGATTTCTTTTCCAGTGGAGGGACGGAGAACAGCCTTGGGATATTTCTGCATAGATCAGCCTTGCGAGCACCCCACACGGAGTCGGCTTGTTTCAAAGCACGACGTTTGCCTCTCCTTGCTCACACTCAACACCAGCAGCAACAAACTCCTGCTGCCACCTTCCTTCTCCAACCCCTGCCTATTCAGATGGACATTCATGAGTCCTGTTGGGTACCGCAAGGCATTCCCATGGACTCCCGTGCACATACAGGAGATTCAGCACTGGAAGTGCCATCGTGCACGCCCCAGCCCTTTCAGTCTGAGCCCTGACAGACAGCAGCGACAAGCTCCGCCAAATGTAGCAGCCCTGATACCCTTTCACATTCCTCCACGTACGAGACCGGCTTGTACGAACTGCTCTTTCCAAAGGGACTTTTAGGGGCGCCCCAGGAGCTGCGCTGGCGGCACCGACCTCCCCTGCCTGCCTTCATCTGCGGCAGATCCCACGCAGCACATAAATAACGGAGGTGCTCCGCTGTGTGCACGCACCTCGTCGGAATGGCGCTGCTCTCCCGCACGTTTCGTAAACTTCAGATGCTCCCCGAGCTAATGGACGCTGGAGATGATGAAAGGCTCAGCCTCGGCTTCGCCCTGCGCTAAAAGGGCTATCACATTACCCCGAGAAGGCAACAAACTGAGACTTCCATCAAAAAAGTTCAACCCTTTCATGAAAGGCCTAGGTTTCCTTGCTGCCTTAAGTGGAATTTGACCTGATTTGTGAAGCCGAAGGCCTAGAACCAAATGATTCAAAGGAGGACACCTACCTTTAATGTGATGCCTTGCTTGGGTTTAGATGACGACATGCTAAATGGGGAGCCACACAGATAATACATCACCTACAGGGGAAAAATAACACTCCAAAGCCACTGCACACAATGTTATTCTAACAAACCACAAAGAAAAACCACTTTAAGATTAGTTTGGACATAAGATAGCTAGAAAGCACCTTCCCTGTGGGGCAGAGAGGCTATTGCCTGCTAAAACGAGTGGAAGAGCACTAAAGTTCTGTTAGAGGTTTGAGGATTTCAGAATTACTTCCATCTCAATGGCTCTGCCAGCAATTCAGCAAAGCAGGAAGAGTGTGCATGGAAGAACACACTCAGCGCACACTTAGTGGTGCACCAATCTGGATCCAAAATGATCAAATGCTACACACGTAGCAGTCACCTTTGCTAAAGACAAGAACTACGAACCAGTTCTCAATCTACAGTGCTGAAACGAGACAGACAAAACTCACCAGCACAACAAAGAACCGTATATTTCTTCACATCATTCTTATTTACTGAATTTTTTTGTCCTGTTCCAAGGACACACAAACTAAAGCTGCAAGTTCCTGTGACAGCAGTCCTGCGAGGAGGTAGGAGACAGCATATCCCCTCTACTGCAAGTGACCTGGCTGCTCCGTATCCGTTGTGTACGAGAGAAAGCATCAGAGCAAGCCCATCAGGCAGAGATAAGGAGCCTTGTAAAGATAGCTGCTGATTTCTGAACAGCCATGTTGCAGCTCCTGACTTTCCTCCAGACCTATCTCCTCACCGACCAAGCAGAAAGACTAACAAGGAAGAGACAGGAGTACCTCTGAAGGTTCTTGTACCACCATCACTCATGCCCTGGTTAACTCTGCTCGTAAACGTGCTGAAAGCAACAGGGGAGCGTGCCCTCCACCGCCAGCAGCTGTGCCACGAGTCCTTGCCCCAGCAGCAGCGGGTGCACAGCCCCCTTTGCCCATCCTGCAGGACTAGAGACAAGCTTAAAGAAGACTGCAGATGTGGGATGCCAGCTTCAGGCAGCACGAGGTAGCTCACCAAGCCATCCTGGCACGATGCTGCTGCCACCCAGGCTGGCCAGCCGCAGCACACTTGTACAAAAGATGGGACTGGCACAGGAACATATCCTTAAAAGAAGCTACAGCACCTCCAGGGACTTAACCAAAACTTTTGAGGGTCTTTATCTGCAGCATCGGATTGCTTCTCCACATAGCGCAGGTGAAGCTGTTTGCATGCACATGCTGCCTGTATCTCAGCATTATCAGCCATCACTGCATCTTGACTGCATGTATCTAATAAAAAAATAAACTTGACTGCATATAAATATTATTAAAGCTGCCCACCATTACATCAAGACATCACCAAATTAGAGAAGACTTGGAACTTAAAAGAAATCATACAAATTGTTATTAGCAAAACACTTCCCTATACCAAAAAACTTTCCTATACCAAAAAACACGTCATAGCAAAAAAGAAAGCATTCACCAGACCACACCAGAACATTAATAAGTATTCTGGGATTTCAAATTATGTTGAGCCAAACTAAAAGTATTTGCAAGAATACCAGGGCTATGACGTGCAACGCAAACACCTGTAACATTCAAGCACAAACAATTTTACCTTTAACATTTCTGTTGCTCCACATTTAAAAACAGCTCTATTAAGCCCCAGCAACTTCAGACAGGGTTTCCCATGTCCTAGAGAAATCGGAGTCCTGAGCCGCTGACGTTGCATGTCTTACATTTTAGAGAACACTAACAGCACAGTCCTCGACATTTAAGATTTTAATCTCTGGAAGAAGCAATCAGCACTAAGATTGGGTGCCTAGGGCTACCTCTGTCAAACGGGAGTAAACAGAACTTGAAAGCCCCAGCAGATGCAGAGGTCAAGAAGCTGGTTAACAGCCTCCCTTGTGCGGACCCCTTTGAAGCACTGTCCCAGTCCCCACCTGTAATTTGCTTTATATTTACACTCCGAAAATATTACGGCACACTGCAGTATTTTCAAAGATTATCTGAAAATATACAGGAAAAATTGCATATTTCACCCATCCCTGCTGGAGGCAGAGGTAGCCAGACGAATAAGGTCAGTAGCAGTGTCCTGGACAGTTAGCGACAAATGGCATTTCCTGTTGGCGACACTTCTTATTAATTATCGAGGGATAATTACCCAAGACTCCTTTCCTCCCCGCACACCCACTCCATCACGTATGGACTGCAACAGATAAAGGGAGCGAGCACGGCTCACTCCCAGCTCGCAGTCCCGTGTCAGCACTAAGAAAACAACGAGACACAATTGTGCGAAGAGGACACCCAACGTGCAAAGGGCAGAAGTCGCCACCTACATTTGCTTCGGGCTTTTCCATGTCCCCTCAAGTCCAGCAGGGTCGTTGTTTCGCACACTCAGCTTTTAGGCAGACATCCGAACGAATGCATTCTCTGTACCATGAGTTTCACGCTAGTGAAGACAAAATTATACTCGGCTGTCTCCAACACCTCTTCTGCACTCGGGCAGCTACCGCAGCAAACAACGCCTCTACCTTATCCGAGCACTGCACCGCACGCAGCAAGGGCAGCACCAGCAGCCACCCCCAACAAAAAAAGAGAAAGAAGAAAGAAAAAAAGGCACCTGTACGCTCAAAGTAGCAATGTACAAAGTCTGAGGAAACATCTTTTAGAGGACTGTCACCGCTCCTTCCCTGAACACCTCTACACCAAGATCAGCACTTACCATATGACCCAATTTTAAGAATGCCTTAATCGGAGCTGGTCACCTTTGCGTATCTACATGGCTTTTAATTGCTGTGCAAGGAGTTAATAACACAAAACCAGAAGCAAGCATTTCTTTTTACAGAATCTGAACAGAATTATGAACAGAATATGCAATACTTAATACCAACTAACCTGGAAGACACTACAAGCATGCTGCAGCTCTATTTGCAGCAACTGGAAAACTAGCACAACAACTCTGTCCCAAGAGCCTCAAACAAAATCAGAACACATTATTTTAATATTCAAAACTGGACCTTGTTAAAGTTAGCAGCCCTTATAGTACTTCTATATTTAAATTTCAGTTTCAACACACGCTCCTGCTTGCCTTACCGTGAGACGTCCCATAAATAACGCACCGAAGTGTCTTTAACACGTTTATCCTTCACACCAATTCAATATCTCATCGCCCATAAATAATACTTACGTTTTATTCTGCGCGGGGCTGCGGGGTGGGGGGGGGCAGCAGCAGCGGCGGCGCCGCCTCCCTCAAGCGGCTCCCGCCGCCGCCGGCCGCCTCACGCCGCCGCCATGTTGCGGGGGCACCGCGCATGCCCGCCAGCGGCACCGGGGGCGAGGGCCGGCCGCCGCCGCCCCCTTTCGGCCCGCAGCCGGGGGCCGGGGCTCCGGGACCTCTCCCGGGAGGCCTCGGAGCACGGGGATCGCCTCCCGGGGGCCGCCCGGGGTGCGGCTGGCAGGCTGCTGAGCCATCGGTGCTGCCCGCCCGCACCGTGTGGTGGTGCCTGACGCCCGCCGGCGGCACCCCGGGGGCTGGCGGAGAGCCCGTCCTGAAGCAGCGGGCTGCAGGGTGCTCGCTTCCCCCGGGTATTTTTTTGGGGGGGATCGTTCCCGGCAGGATTATGACAGACGTCTCCGGAGTTTGGGGCTTGCTTTCCGTGCCCGGCTGTCGTCTTCGCTGCTCGGGTCAAGCGAAAGCCGCGTCTTAAATCCCAAAACAAACTGTTGCCTGAGAGCGAGATTCCAGTAGTTTTCCTAACAATAATAATAAATAAATCCAAATCTATACCAAAAACCCCTCAAACACTGCTGTATGAAAGTCAAATTCACCTGTCCAACATGAGTATCACACATCTCACATTACTGCTGCCACCTCATTTTAACCACTCTGGGAAGCAGCAAATGGTCCAGAAACAAGGCAAACGAGTCCCTGCAGTAAATGTTAATATTTAGTATTTAGACAACGTGATAGAAATGAGAAAAATCACGCTAACACAAATGTCTAAAAATATATGAAAGAAAGATAAAGGAATACTAAAATATGGTTGCATAAAATCTTTATAGCCAAGTGTGGCGTGCTCATAGCCAACGTAGGTTGATGCTGCTTAATTTGAAATGTTTTTTTTTTTCCCCATTCTCTCTTATTAAGCTCTTGCAGAAAATCAAAAAATCACCTTCATTCTAGAGTTGGATACAGGAATGTGCCACATGCCATGGAATAAGTCCTTGGGAGAGATGTAGGAAATGAAAACGTATTTTTAAGATACCCTTTAAACCCAAGCTGGTACTTGATACAGCATCAGAAAGATTCAGTGGTGACCACACCGATGGTTTCCGGAGCTCTTGATGCCCAGCATGAGCTGGTGTCCTCTGCCTGCTCATCGTGTGTCCCAGAAGCTGAGGAAATCACGAAGTCTGACCAGCATTAATACTGCTTTTTAGATGTTGGGAACTTGGGAATAAACAACAGACATAAGAATAAATGTCTGCGAGATGACAGAGGAGAATAAAATAAAACTTTTAAAGTTCCTTTGTCATCTAGGAGCCAAATTGTGTCCATAACACCTTCACAAGTGTCCCTCACCTACTAGCTACAGCTGATGCAAAACAAAGAATTTCCATACAGGATTATTAGAAAAGGAATAAGGAGTCCTGCCTGCTCCCATTTTCCAGCAGTATGATGAGCTTGTTTCCTGATGACTCACCCATCATCTTTCATTTCCCTTTATAGGTATTAAACTGAATTATTTGGGTCACAAAGGCAGAAAAAAAATAAGTCCTCAGTGTTCTTTACAAAGAGAGATAGAATATGTGTATATATATATATGCATGCGTATTTTATATATATGTACATATACACATGTACATGTACATGTGGCTTCACAGGTTTTTGCAGGGAGATTCCACGATTTTAGAAAGAAGCAATGACATCAAAATAAAAATGTTTCATGGAGGTAGACCCCAATGGACACCTACAACAGTTCAACGTGATGTTCTGGAAGGTTGACGCAGATAAAAAAATTGTTTAAGAGAGCTGGCAGTTCCTCACAGAAACAACATTAAGAGTGTGAGTAAGAGAACCATCAGTCCACACAGAAAAGATAAAGGCATAGTGCATGACCAACCTGGCTGTCACAGGCAATTCCAGAAGCTCAGGCAGGAGTGAAGCGTGCAGAAAAGAGAAGCTTTGTTGGGTTGCTCTGGAGAGCTACAACAGTAGCCCAATCACGCAGGGACGAAATCAGAGGAGAAGACAAAAAAGTGAGATGCAATTGATAAGGGGCAACAGGAGTAACACAAAATCATTCCAAGCACATCACCAGGAATGGAGAAGATCGAGCAAACGATTACTCCAGTGTCAAGCAGAACTGGAAAGTTTTTGACAGGTGACAGCAAGAAAGCCAAGCTTCTTAGTATTTTTGCACCTATTATTGATTTTTTTTTAGAAATATAAGTCATTATTGATTCCTCAGAAGACAGCTGGATTTCAGACTTGACTACCAAGTGAGAAATTATTCAGACAAAATTAGCTGCTTTCCAATCAGCTGCACTGAAAGAACCAACTGATGAAATCTCTGAAACTGTCGCAGAGAATTTATAGTGGGACAGATATTTAGAGGACAGAAAAGGACAAGCACAGCGTTGAAAGGAAAAGCGGAGATAGAAGTTGTATACCGATCTGTTTAAATTCAATGTCCAGGAAAGATACTGGAGGAAATAAACAGGCTATTTTTAAGCACTTATAAAGCAACAAGTTACAGACAACACAGCTTGGTCAATGACAAAAGACATCAAACGTCTGATATCTCTTGCAACAAAGCAAGAGGAATTCTCAGTGGCAAAAAAGCATTGGATGTCGCATTGGATGTCTCTTTAGTAAGATTTCTGGCATAGTTTCTTACAATATTCTTTAAGCAAACAAGGCAAACAAGGTAGGTTGGAGATATTTAGGGAGTGGTTACGAGTGGCTCACTGTCAAATTGGAAGGATGTTGATGAACTCAGCAGTGGTTTAGAAAACGTGTTTATCTAACCGCGGATTATTCCAAATCAGGAGAGTTTATTGTCATGCAGGACAGTTGTGGGATTTAGGGGGATTTTCATGCACTGACAAAAGAGTCTGTAAAAAGGACAGTTCTATTCAACAGGGATAAGTGCATGGTGCTGGGCTGAGGAATATAGGATCAGCTGTATGCATAGGAAATGGGGATTTTCTGCAGGAAAAAAAAAAAAAAAGGCAATTATGTGCAAAAGAAAAGAAGAAAACAATCTGTGGCTATGTGAATCACAGTCTGTACACAAGGTGACGATGTCAGAGTGCTGCAGTGAGAATGTCAAACCATAAGCAAGGATGCGAAAACTGAAGCACAGACTCGGTGTGAAACAGAGGGCTTTACACAGCCCTAGAAAAGCTCAGCAGCAGTGGTCTGTCAGGCTTTGGTAACTGTGTAGACCTGAAGAGAGCAGAAAAGATCAATTTGAATGACCAGATAGCTAAAAGGTATGTTCTACAAGAGAGATTAGGAGACAAAGCTGTAAAATGGTGAGGGAAGGAAGAAGGCAGGCTGGGGGGCTGCACAGCCCCAGACACCCCCAGGTGTCCCCCGGGGTCCCTGCCAGCAGTGAGCTTCACAGCCTGGCAGCTTTCCTGGAGGATCTGCTTCCTCAGGGAAGGGGCTTCATTGCTCCAGCAACCATGCGTGTGCCAGAATAGTTTCAAGGGGAATTACAAATTGCCTTCGTGCTTTCAGAGTCCTCCCTCCTTCAAGCTGTCACGGTGTGGTTGTCCCATGTAACTGAGTATATTACAGGTATATGAGAAGCTGCACAGTTTCGCTCCCTAAAGAAAGACATAATTTAGACATAAACAGGTCTGACTTCCACTCTTTGTTATGTGAATTCAGTAGAAATTGTAGATGTTTTATGTGAAGGCAAGGTGGCACTTTGTTCTTTCCTGAGAATGAATTTTACCTTTTTCTGAACAGTCTCAGAAGTTCTTCAAAGGTGACAATGACATATTCTTTTAATAACATCTTTTCTTTTTTTCTTTTTTCTTTTTTTTTTTTCTGTTCTGCTTGCTTGTAGGAAATGCCATCACCTCCTTCACAATTTTTGAACTGTGTAGATTAAGAACAGGAATAATTACAGATGACAAGTGTAAAGAACACTCACTGCAACTATAATAAGTAAAAAAAATAAAAATAAAAAATTAAATCAAGCCTTCTAAAGCAGTTTAGATGTTTAGCTTAGGTGTTTAGATATGCATGCCAGAACTGCAACACCGAAAGGAAAGTTGTGTTATTTTCATTTGCATGGCACACCTGAAAATAACTTTTCTGAGATACAGAAAACTCTCAGAAATAAGTGAGAACAAAATCTTGGCCACAATGCTTTTTAAAATATTTTACGGTATTCATTAGATATTGGTTTGTAGGGGATGGGATAAGCAGCAAGGAACCAATTTCAGATAAGATAGACTTAAGCTAGGAGTAACCTTCTGCCATCAAACAGATAGTGATTAAAATTGCTCCAGCAAGGGAAAACAAATCTGCTTTCTTTGTTTTCTTATTACTTCAGGTGCATGCTTCCCACACAGTGACACGCAAAAAAAAAAAAACCAACAACCAAGCCAAACAACCAAACAAAAAACACTTACTCCCAAAATACTGGGGACAAAAACCTGTAACAGATTTGTAGTACCAAAAAAGATCAAATTTGAGGTGATGAGGGGCTCTTCTGACATCTGTCAAATGCTCTGAAGCTTCAAGCTGCCTCTTAGTGAAATAAATAATACATAGGGCTAGGCAGAAAATTGTTTTTCTTCCAGAAGAATTTTCCATATTTCAAGTACTTTTTCCATCCTGATTGACACTGAAAAATCAAAATCCCCACTGGGTCCATAAGCTGACCAAGTAAAACCGTTTCAGTAAATGGAAATGGTTTCTTTCAATGGTTCTAAGTGCCCTTATCTGACCCTCTCTTTAATGTTTTTACATAAATTACATTTGAATTGAAATGTTGTGAATCAGAGTTCCCAAAGTTTTCAGAACTTCCAATTCAGAATGTCCTATTCTGAGAAATAAAATATCCAACCATTGTTGTTGTTTGTTTGTTCGTTTGGATCTAAGAACAACAGCAAAATCATCCCTTCACTGCAGGCAATTTCAGTGTACAAATGTTGCAGGAAGCTTTCCAACTAGTCCGAAACTCATGAATAAAATGGGGGAAGACATTTTGCAGAACAGATGTAAGCATGGAGTTTGAAACAAAGCAGTGGCACCAAAAAAACAAAACTTTTATGTCTGAGTCACAATCTGGAGAGATCAG